AAGGTCCTCTCTGCTGCCCTCAGGTTTGCCCCAGGTCCCTGGACCCTGTCCCCAGCTATGTCCTCTGTCTGCAGGCTGCCCTGCCTCCTGCTGACCCTCTGCTTCCCTCTCCCCTCTGCACACACGTCCCTCTGCCTTCACACCTGGCTCAGGTCCCTGGACCCTGGTCTCAGCTGGACACAGCCCCAGCAGCAGGGTGGGCACAGAGCTGGCCCCGCTGGGCTGGTGGGGAGTGGGCCTCCAGAGATGGGGTGGGACAGAGCCCCCTCAAGGAACCCGTGTCTTGTCCCTCAGGATGTGTTAAATCGTCTTTTCCACTGGGTCAGAATCTGTGGGGCCCCAAGCAATGTGGTGTGGTCCATGCTCATTGGCAGGTCACACGGTCGAGGGGGCCCCAAGCAGGGCTGGACAGGACTTTGTGGGAATATCTGGGATGAGGTCATCCCTGTTCCTGTGTCTGGTCAGCCCCCTGGCTGTTCAGGGTCCAAAGGGGACATGACCCCCTCCACACCCTTACAGGCCCTCAGGGGAGCTGTTCCGTGCTGATTCCGGGTGGTAAAGCAGTGGGAGGCGCAGAGGGTGTGGCCCCAGCAGAACGGAGCTCCCTTGTCTGGTCCCCTAACCCATTTTCTCAGGAGTCTCAGGGTGCTGTCGGGATTGAGTGATGGCCAGATGTGGCCTGAGGATGGACGCTCAGGGTGGAGGGGGCCACGTGGAGTGGGACAGACCCTTGGCAGCCCCCATACAGCGCCAATCCTCGTCCTGCCCCTGACCGCAGGACCCCTTGGAGGTGAGCCCTGCACTCGGGCCGACCCCTCAGTTGAACAGCAGACCTCAGCCTAGAGGGACTTCAGGGTGAGGGGTGTGTGTCTGTGCTGAGGACCAGGGCCCAGCCCTCTGCCTTGTGCTTGGCTCAGGGACTGGTAAATCCACAGCAAAGGGCCGGCACACGCAGGGCACTGGGGTGTCTCTGATATTCATAAAGATGCTGATAACAACACTGGTGTGATGGAGAAAACCCTACACCAGGCACCTGATGGCAGTAATGCCACAACAGGCCAATGTGGAGTTACCTCCCAGACCTCCTAAGAGCCAACACTCCTTTTAAGGAGCAGAAACGACGTTAAAGTTTCCTGTCCAAGGGCATAAGGCTCTGAAGGGGAGGAACCAGCTCAGGGCGACCAGACTCCAGACCTCGGGTTTGGCCGCAGCTCTGGGCTTCCCCCTTGTGGACAGAGTACACTGCTGGCTCTGCTTTGCACTGAGAGAGGAACGGGGGACTGGGAGCTCATCTCTTGATGGTTATGCCTGAACAGCCTAGAAGAAGAGTGACCCCCCTCTGGGAGGGTCCTCCACCCGCTGTGGGGAATCAGGCTAGCTCAGGTCCCCCCCTCCATCTCCCTCCTGCCCATCCTCCTCTCTCACACGGTGAAGACTTGAGTTCAGAGCAGAAACCCCTCAGCAGACTGCCTGGATCAGGGGTTGGACTCCAGTCTCGCCCTCCCAGCCCTGTGCTTGCAGGGCAATCACCAAACCCTCTATGTTCTAGTTCCCCGTGTGCAAAACGGGCAGGAACGCGCCCACCCCGCTGCGCTAACTTTGGGGACACAGGGCTTCACTCACACAGGCCACGTGCTTAAATCAGCGCGGCCAAATGGGACACCTGGAGAAGTGTTGATTTTATCAATACCGAGGAAGTATTTCTTCTCACACCCTCCTGCTGCAGGCTCGATGCAAACAGTGAATGAGAAGCAGGGTCCCTGGCCTCCCAAACTTTAGCGGGGAGACTTACTTAGAATGAGCAACAGAAATGCATATAATTTACATATATGGGCATATGTAACTATTAGCATATAATTTACATTGTAAAATTTCAGACCTATCATTTAAGTATATTAGAATACATATACACTATGTATTAAATATATAAATAATACAATTAACATAATCATATACACTAATATATTGTTACATATGAATAATGCATAGGGTTATATATTATATGCTTATAGATTATCATGTATTATGTATGATTTTTATATGTAAATATTAATATAAATACATATTAAATATGTATAATTCATGTTATAACTGATATGCATAGCTTACATATATAAATAATTTTAAATTCTGTTAAAGTTATTTATAGAAATTAAATTATACATATGTAGGTTAAAACACATAATTTAAAATATATTTATATTTGTTATATGTTAAATATTTATATAAATGTAGTATTAATGTAAATATATTGCTATATATATTACTTGTATGTCTATAACATAGATACTATTTTAAATTGCAGTAAATACAAGGGGAGCAAGGCAGCAATGGCGTTAAAGCAGCGGGTGGGGTCCTGGACCGTGGGCCGGGGACCAAGGACAGGGTGCTGAGGGAAGGAAGCCCCGAGAGGTGTTTTTTGCCTTTCTTAAAGGGTACTGAGGACTAGCCTGTGGAGCAGCGGGAGGCAGGGGGCACTGTCCAGAAGAGAGGACACGGGGGATCCGACCTGGGGGGCGACGAGCCCGCGGGGCCCCAGGTGGACCACCTG